GAGGGGGACCTGATCCCAGTCTGCAGGTATGTTCATGGCGGATATAAAGAGAATGGTAGTAATCAATTATTCTCCGTGTCCACTGAAGGTAGGACAAGAAGTAACGGGCTTAATCTGCAGCAAGGGAGATTTAGGTGAGATATTAGGAAAAACTTTCCAACTCTCAGGGTAGCTAAGCTCTGGAACAGGCTTCCCGGGGGGCTGTGGAGTCCCCGTCACTGGAGGTTTTTAAGAACAGGTTGAACAAACATCTGCCAGGGATGGTCTGGGCTCACTTGGTCCCGCCTCAGCGCAGAGGGCTGGACTTGATGACCTCTTGAGGTCCCTTCCAGCCCGTTTCTATGACGTTAGTGAACTACTGAGGAATACTGATGCGAACAGGAGGCAGGAAACATTTCTGCAGAAGAAATTCAGCCTCCAGCCCTGTAGGGTTCCTTTAGCACCAGTCAGCGCACAACGGGCACAAGATGCCGGGTCAGCACCATGGCACAGACCTCTACCGCCTGGACTAAAGGAGTAACTCCATCAGCAGGCAGCAGTGGTATACTGGTGTCCTCAGCGAACAAAGTCATGTGGGGAGGGACATAACACACAGTTACCTTACAACTACTCACAGCTCTACCATGTGGCTCCTTAAAACTGCAGGGGGAAGGGCGTGGCCTGGTTTCAAATAATGAAATGTACAAAGTAACCCACCAGCATGTCCTGCTCCTGCCTTCTCTTCTGCTGTCACTTTCAATTTCGGTCACATCACGAGTTGGCATGACGTGGGTGACTCCAGCTCGACAAATTCCTCTTTCATTACTGCTGTGAGAGGGATTTATTTCAGGAGTGGGCCGGACTAGTATGATGGTCACAGACGCTCGCTCTTCATCAGTGGAAATTCAAGCACTTCAACAAAGGCGGTCAGGATCGTTATCCCGATTTTACAGATGGGGAAACTGAGGCAGGGGATGTCTGGGTTGCCAGGTATATTATTGACTCGCTGCATAGCTTGCGCTGTCACTTCAGCTCTCTAGGCCTTGCTTTCTCGTGTTAACACACACACATAAGCTGCATCACTCTCAACAACCGGCAGCTGTCCTGTGAGAGCTCAGGAGTCAGCCTGGCCTGAAATAAATCCACTCCCCCGCCTGGCAAAAAACTGGTCACTCTGATGGGTTAACACTAGCACAGGCGTGGAGGGGGCTCTCCAGAAGAGACACGGATGGCTCTCTTGCGTCACTTTATGACGGCATGGACTCGGAGCTGAATCTCTTCCTCATTCCTGGTCCTGGGGTATTTTGTAGTTATGATTCTCTCCCCCAATTCCCTGGATTACAACAGCAGCTACTTCCCCAGCTACCAGAAACACTTGCCCGCATCCTATGACATTGCCACAGCCTCCCCCAGACTCCCCTGCTGTAGGTGTTAGGTGGGGAGCATGACACAGGGAGAGTGATGCAAGAGTCTCTATCATTCACTGTCCCATGAGCAAAGGGTTTCCCTTTTTTTAAACCCCCCCACCACGCCCTCGTAATGTTCCAAACCCAGTCAACCCTAGGGGAAATCAGCTCTGAGAACTGGACACCCCTCCGGGGCCCTCTAAACCACCCCTTGCTGCTGTGGCATGATGGAGTTCCTCAGTGATTGTGTTCCACTACTTTGTTCAAAGTGGTTTTTAAATGTCCCAAGCGCTGGAGTTCCCATCCCCTTGCTGGGGGAGACGATCCCAGCTCACTGCCTGGACAATATCGCTGATGGCCATGGCCCTTTTGGGGCTCGTCCCACACACACGCTTTAGGAGACATACAAGTATAATGAACTCATTCATTCATACCCCCACCCCCACCCTCCCCACTTATCAGCATTTACGGGAAACCTGTTCTCCAAACCCTGCTCCCTTCCCGTCAGGCAAAGCCGGCTGCTTGGCACTGAGCTGCCGGGACTGTCCCGCTTTGGGCTGCTGCTGCGGTGGCTCTGGAAGCCCTTCCAAAGCAGGGCAAATATTTGCAAAACTGGCGAGGGTTGGGCTGGTGGCAGGATGTGTGTGCGTCGAGGCGGTCAGAACCAGTTTGCTTTGCTGCAACGATAACGGGTCACAAAAGGGGATGCCAGGCAGGGCGCCGTAGAAAGCTGCCACCCTAGAGTGGCAGAGCCTCTGCCAATAGCCCAGGGCAAATGTCTTAGGGGAAGCCATAAAAACCCCCAATGGACCTGCCTGTGCAACTCTGGGCCATCCACAGGAACTGTTTGCTCCCACCAAGTCCTAAAACAGGAGCGACACGTCTCGTTCCTCTGCCTCCTGCCTCTCAAGACGCTACGCTGAGCCATTCCTGTCTAATTTAAAAGGTGCTGAAGATAAATCTCCTGCAGCAGGGAGTTGCACAGGTTAATTGTACATTACCCAAGAGCAGCGCCCATTACTCTTGTATCACAGGAAGAAGAGTGGTCGGGGGGCAGGGGAGGGTTCGTTCCCACCCCACCCCCCAGGCTCCAGGAATGACTATGTTATCATTACAGCCACATGCCAATGAGCCTTATCACCCATTTCGCAGGCCTCTCCTCCCTTCGCTATGTCAGCTGGCAGGAGTCTTGCTCAACCGCCCCAAGCACCCCAACCACTTGAAAGCCGCCGCAGGTGATTTACGAGCCCCCTTTATTGCCGCTCCCTCCCCTTCTGAAAAAACGAGGGTGGGGTGAGCCGGTCCACGTTACATAACGAGATTACATCAGTCCCGGGCTGGATAGCGCTGCTCTCTGAATCCACTTGGCGAAGCCAGCGGACAACGGCCCAGCCTTGTTGCTACACACAGTGGAGCTGGCTCGGCTGGGAAGCCTGCGTCCCAACTCTCCCTTTCTCGTTCCTTGTCAGCTACCTGGACACACTGTCTTTTCCCTGACATCGCACAATGACTGTGGGCTGGCGGGCGGCTCCATGGGACAGCCAAACAGGAAGGAAATGCTCATCAGGCTTCTAGGACATGGTGCTCCCTTACCCAATCCCACAGGAGCCCGGAGAGCTTCTCAAGGACGCTCTTGAGCTGACTCTGCAGCCAGCCACGCTAAGGCCAATGCAGAATCCCAGGCGATGGCAAGATGCCCACTGGTCTCAAAGGCAGCTGTTCTGCAAGAGCAGTTGCACTGTCTCCCTAAGCACAAACAGCCACTCCTGGATAGAAGTGGGCAAACCTCCCGCGGATTGGTGAACTCTGGGGGCACGCTGCCTGCTTGCTGCTAGGGGTCGCAGGCGTGGAGCAGAGCAGGGACTGAGGCGAAAGCAAACCGTGCTGGTGAGAAGCCCCTTGGTCCCCACTCCCCGCAATCTCTCTGCTCGGCGAGGCCGATTCCGAGATAGGTGTTGAATTTCCCATGTAGGGCTGCGTCAGGGGGATGTTCTGTTCCAGGCTGTGCTGTCTCAGCAATGGCTCATGGCCTGAATCAAACACGTGCGTGAGTCACATGGGGTGTTCAGCAAGGAATCCCAATGGACGTTTCCCGGCAGGAATTTCTGTACATCCTTTTCAATGGAATTGCTTAGCGGTGAATCCACTTTCCAGGCATGTTGCATGGACATTGCTTTGCATGGAAAGGTCCCGACAGCAGGTTCCAGAACAGGGGTCCATCTGCTCAACTATGGTACAACCCCATGGCTGCTGAGGACAAACTAGAACGACAGACCCAGGCAAAGGGACGAATTCGGAGACTCCACTCATGGCACTGAGGTCTTTGGCCTGGTTCGCTCCAGCTGTGACCAGGAGTGGAGATGATTAGGAAAGGAGCTTACAAGAGTCAGATCATGCCCTGAGCTAGCCCCTAGCTACTCTTCCCAAAGATGACAATGCTGGTGAGTGCCAGAACGGCCACCTGTATAGGGAGAGTCTCTCGCTGCAAATCTGCCACCCGTCTGACCAGCAAATGGCTGCAGAGAGCAAGGAGGAGTCCGTCAACCTCCACCCATTGGGTAACACGGCCCAGCCAGCCAGGTGCTAACTTTTCACCTCCCCACTCAACAAGCAGTGGCTAGCCAGTTTCAGAGCCCGGATACTAGTGAGAGGGACCAGCGGCCTGACGCAGTAAGACAGGATTTCTGGGTAAAGGGCCAGTTAACACAGCAGAGATTTGTAGAAATTGGCCAGAGGGGAATCTAACAGACCCTCCCCCAGCTATCAGCGTTTGCACTGGGGCAGCCACTAGGTGTAGACAAGGATTGGCACAATTGGCACCACAGCAGCTCACTCCAGTTTCAAGCAGGGGTCAATGGTGTCTTTAGCCATACTAGGGGTCTGCAGCCGACCACCGCTGGCTGGAATCGGGCTGAGAGCCCCATGTCGGGATAGACACACGGCAAGCTCCACCTTGCCCTTGAACCTAGGGCACATGGGAGAAGGGCAGCTGGGATGGATCAGAGCCTGGGGACACAGGGAACTTAAAGGGAAGGGCCCAGTTACAGAGATGCTAACAGGGAAAGCCAAGAGTTAATCCTAAAGGAGCCCCTCAACGACCCTTCTTTTCACTTTCCTGTCTCGAGCAAAACACGTGAGCGAAGAAAAGACAAACCAGCAAAAACTCAGCAAAGCCAACCGCTCCCACTCAGCCTGTCAGTGATAAGATAATACGCCAGGCAACTCACACCCTCGCAGTCTGACCAAGCCCAGGGCTGGGCGATTAAAAGGAGCCATGCGCTATTTACTCCAGGCAAACGACTTGCACAGAATCAAAGCTCTGTTCTCACGGCATCACTGCCAAGCGAGTGCTGTAACAAAAGGAACTTACAATTACTCGCCTGCATGAGCCACTGTCACACTCACTCATTCACAGGGTTTCCTAGGATAGCTCAGTCCAGCGTCCCTGACTGCTACCCCGAGTCAGCTGGACCCTGACCCCAGACCTTCCAGCAACACGACATGCGGTGGTTATCAGAAGCACTCTCCCCAGGGAGGCTCACATTACATTTCAGAGAGTGCTCTGGCTTCCAAGCACTTGTCAGAGCTGAGGGGAAGTCTGTTTACATCCCTCACCCTATGCATAGATCTTGTTCTCTCCTTAGAGAGGTATTTTTATTTTTAAAATCCATCTTGTACGTAAGAGTCATGAACCGCAGATCTGAAAGCATCAGGAATGGATAAAATATAAATCTGTTAGGCACAAAACAGTCCAAAGGGAATTACAGATGATACAGATTGAGATAATGCTGCTGCCTCTGGGGTGGAACACAGGGCAAGACTTCAGCGAGGGTAAGAATCCTTTCTTCTTGCAAGCAATGTTGGTTTCCTCTGGTTGGGGACGGCAAGCTCCGGACTCCCTTACATTAAGATTGCGTTAAATCATTCTACCCCGCTTTCCCGTCGCGATGCATTCCACCAGGAGAGGGGAATGGGCAGGTTTTAGGCTGGCTTCATGAACAGCTGGAAAAAGCAGGCAAGCCCCGCAGCACAATAAGGCTGCGTTATAGGAAGGAGGAGAAAAGCACCAGGCTGAACGGAGAAAGAAGGAGCATTTGAAAGTTGTAAGGTGCGCTCGCACTTCGGTTTACTGTATCTCAGAATCGCTAGTTCCATCCTCTGCTTGGCGACGGGAGAGAAATGCCACAGAAAGCGATCTGCTCTCAGCGGTTTATTGTGGGTTTATGCAAGCCCAGGAGAAGGCTCATTAGACATGGTACAAGTCAGTCGTAGCACACGACAGGCGTCTTACACGGTGTCAGAAATACACTGGCTGGCAGAAGGGGAAGGAGCGTTTCAACCTATGAAGGCGTGAGGGCAAATTCCATGCTTGAAATTCCCCTTCTGGCGTCACATGGGATGAACCAGCATTGCCCGCAGACTTGAACTCAGCTTGTGCCACGTGGCAGAAGCGAGTTTGGCTCATCGCTGCCCAGGCTCAGTGAAGGCATGTACTGCGGAGCCGCAGGGATATCTGGATTGATTGGCAGCACCTGCTCAGGACAGGCCCGGGGCAGGGACTGGAGCAGGTCGGGCTGAGGGGCATCGGCAGAACTGCATGGGGGAAGCGAGCACAGCAAATAGCTGGCTCCAAGCCATAGTATTATTTGCTGTCTTCCACAAGCAGTAACTGGCACCTCTTCCCCCTGCGACAGCGGTGCCGTCTCTGCCCTCCCTTGCACTGTTCTAGCTGCTTATCTTAGCAAAACTTAGGAGCCGGGGTAAATCTAGCCAGGATCCAGTTCTGAGCTGTATTCCCACAGGAATCCGGGCACTCCCTGCCGACACATGGGCAGGCGACGTTACGTGATGGAGCTAATCAGAACAGGAGGGAAGCATGAACGATCTGCTGCAACGTTTTGCTTGCAGAGCCGTGGCGGCTGCGAAGTTGGACTTTGAAGACTCCCAAACCAGCAGAGGATTGCACCCGAGAAGGCTACAGAAGAAACCACCACAACGCCTCCCTTTTTTAATCTAGCAATAATAGTTATGCAGCCCCTATAGATTTAAAAATACCACTTCAGAAACCCCTGGGATCTGTAAGTCGCAGCAGGTAGCACCTTTGCTACAGACAAGATGTCGGGTGGCTGCTTTTCAGTTGGGTGTCTGGAGATGAAGGCCCCGGACACATTTGTTTCAGAGTCACTGGTCCATGGATGAAGCGGATAAAGCTGCACGCGCTGGAGGCAGGAAGGCGTCGAGCAGCCGCGGGGTCCCCGTAGCCATTCTTCAGCTCCGGTTCCCGCGTGCAGGATGTTTTGCTCAACAGGAGTCCAGGACTCAGTCACAACTCCGCAGACCCCAACAGCAAGTGGAGAAATATACCAGCTACTGGGCCCCCAGGGAAACCATCAGTCTCCCGAGACACCACGTCTTGGCACAAAGGCTATTAGGAAAGCCCCGAGCATCTGGGCTTTATGAGAATAAAGAACTAGGTCTTAAAACATTAGGAAAAAAGATCCGAGCAACAGCCAAACAGCATTCGGCATCAGACGACGATAGGGAACCACAATCCCGCGTGGGCTGGAGAGAATGGTACCTCTAACACGCCGAGTGCTGGGGAAAGGTGCTTCTCCAGCCACCCGGCTGTTCCTGGGAATGAGGCACTGCTAGACTCAGAGTCCACTGTAATGGTGTCCCCCTGGCACGGAGAACAGGCGGGATCCATGCAGCCAGAGACGATCCATTGGCCACTTTTCCTAGCTCCCCTGGCTTCTGTCCCGCCTTCCCCTCACGCAGCATCGCGGAAGGGGGAGCCGTGTTCACAAAGCAGCAATGGCCTTGGCAGCGACCCGGCGACCCAGGGGCAAGCTGAGATCCGTGATGGCCAGGACAATTTTGGGACTGGACATGGTGGACACTTTCACCAGCTCTGACACCTGCCCAGAGAGAGAGGGGAGGAGAAAAACGGATGCCTCCAGTCAGCGTTGGAGGTGCCAGCGGTCTGGAGAGAGGGCTGCAAAAGCTACCAGCATGCAGGTCACCTGAGCCAGATGGTGGGACATGAGCCAGACTAGAAAAGGGAGGTGACCCTGCTGCCAGCGGCTTATGGTACAGGAATCTGAGCCCAAAGATGACCTCGCTGCAACTGGAGGCAACTTATGGGGCTGCTCTTCAGTGCTAGCAAATCAGGTTCTCATAACAACAGCAATGCTTTGCCCATCTCTAGAGAGTCCCATCAGAGGATCTCAAAGCACTTTGTGCCTCACAACCCCCTGCAAGGCGGGGATTAACCCCATTGTTCAGAAGGGGAAACTGAGGCACGGGAGCAGGCACGCTAGGTGCCCAAGGTCACACAACGAATCACTGGTAAAGCTGAGAACAGAACCCAGATCTCTTGACTCCTAGTCCCAGGCTTTAAACCGCCAGACCAACTTTGCCCCAAGCGACGGGCCGGAGCTGCTGTAACCGTTTAGCCTTTGCTGTTAGGCCGAGGCCCAGGATACTGGCCGGAGACGCTGCCCCGTATAACGGGCTTCCCTGAGTCAGTTAAACGCTAGCAATCACCCAAGTCGCCCACGGTGCCGTTACTGACCCTCCACCTCCCTTAACAGCCCCTCCCCTCCGTCGCGGGGAGGAGTTATAGGCCTGACTAGGCCTCTCGCTGTGCCAAGCGGCTTGCCCCCAGTTCCACGCCACAGCAGCCCCAGGCCCGGGCACTGCCGAGTGAAGCAGGTGGGTCTGCCACGTTGGGGGCTGGGTCCCAGATCTCAGCAGGGGCTGCGGAGCAGGGGCTGCGGAGCAGGAGCAGATCCAGAACTCACCATTGTGAAGGGCATGAACTGCAGGATGCTCCCGCGGCTGCCCTGCTCCAAGCAGTCCACGCACTCCTCCATGAACCACTGGACGAACTGGGTATGCGTGCCGGCTGTCTTGGCCCCCAGGATAGAGGAGATCAGCAGGAAGAGGTTCGCTGGGGAGGAAGGGAAATGAACGGGTATTTGTAGCCTCAGGACTGGCAAAGGGCTGGGCGGTGCCTTCAACACCCGGGGACTGGGGTCTCCTTCCAAAGGGCTGGGGTGCACCACGCTCACCCACTCGTGGGCACCAGCTCTATCAGGGCACCTGACTCTGCCGGTCTGCTCAAGAAGAGTCAGGCAGCAAAAGCAACACTGGCTCATTCAGCACCAGAATGGCTTTACAGCAGAAAATGTACCGACCCCCTGCGTTCGGGAGGCCAGCCAGCGCTCTGCTGCCGCCGGGGGGAAGGGATCCATGCTGCGAGCCTGCCGCGCAGGGACGCAAGCCAGGTCCACGCCGAGGGGAATCAACAGGAGCAGTGACTATGAGAGCATCCAGTTCAGAAAGGCTTCTCCCTGGGGAGCCCAGACACTGCAACTGACCAGGTGCCTCACCGCACGGCAGGGGGTGGTTCCACCTTCCTCTGATGCAAAGGGAGCTGCAGGCAGGATACCCGACCTGACAGGCCAATTCCTGATCCGATCCAGGCTTACGCTCCTGTACAGCCCGTGCAAGCCTCCTTATCACGCCTGGGGAACAGCTCCCGCTCGGGACTCACCTAGGACTCTGTTGAGAGGGTCCCTCATGCTGACGGTGTGAAGCTGGGAGGCAGAGAGCGAACTGCTCATCGAACGATCTGCTGCGGAGGAGAACACACCCCGGTCAGGAGGGTAGCTGGAATAACCCCACTGTGCACCTGCGCTCAACCACAGCCGCCGACGTTCCACCCCAGGGACTGCTGCCCCTTCCTAAGCTCAACCCCGCAAGACCATGGAGAAAACCAAGCCAGACGCGGCCCCGTCCCTGCGGAGAGGGACGGCAGAAAACTCCTGCTGTACAGAGCCCACCTGCGGGTGTGCTTTGCTCTGCCACTTGAGGGGTCTCCCTCCACCCTCAATGGGGGGCACATAAGATGCCTTCCCCAAACCCTCAATTTTGTCTTTAATATAGTGACGCTCAGACCTCAGTGGTTCAGGAGCCAAGTTAGTGATCAACATTACCCAAAAGTGCCACAGTCATGTGAATTCATTCTCTCATTTACTACAATCCTATCTATTCATATTTAAACAGTATGACAGGAGAAATAGTTAGTTTTATAGATGCAGTGTGTATATATAATTCTCGCAGTAAATAAGTTAATAGCGTAGTGCAAGTTGATAACTTGGTTAAGAACACAGTAAAAGCCTCCTGATTGTGTGATGTAATCATTAACCAATCTAAGTTATTAACCAGCGCTGCAACGCACCGCAAGAGACACATTAAAGAGCCACTTGTGGCTCTCCAGACTCAGTCGGAGAATCACTGCTCTCATTCAATCAAAGCCAGAAAGGTCCCTTGAAGCTTTCCCAGCCTTTGGGGGTGTTTGGATCCAGGGCTTTGGTCTGGTCCATCAGGCAGAAAGGTGAGCTAAGAGGTTCGGAGCAAGATCCAAATGCGAGGTGTTAAGATGATCTCTGAAGACAACACACATGTGGATTTGAGTTGCCATGTTAGTCCATTGCAACACTGGGGTAAGAGAAAACTTGTTTCTGCTACCACACTCGAAACTCAGACCCACAGACACACCGTTTGCACTCATCATCTGGATTTCTATGTTGATCAGCACACTGGGGGGATTGGTTATTGCCCACTGGCTCCTATCGTTAATATTACTGTAGGTCAATCGGACGTATCACAGGGTTTTAGGCATTCTGGGATTGGACTAAAAATGCCATGGCTAATTTTTGGATGTGTCACTGTGCTTCACTGTTGCACAAGCCCAGATGCTTATGGTGCTTTCTGAAAGCCAGCGAGGCAGGCAAAGCTTAACCGTGTTTATTACAAAGATGTATCCATCTTCATTTCCCCAGCAATCCACGTCTGATTTGCTTTGAATAATGGCTCTGAACCAACACTCAGTAAAATCATGATTAACGTAAAGCAGTAGAACATTTCTATAGTGCCTTTTGTGCCAAAATACTTGACAAAATTAAACTGATGCACATCTTGTTCATCACCAGCACTGAAATCAGCTAGCTCTGGGGTGGAACACGGCAGCTGTTTAACAGCCTCACGACAACACTGCATGACAGGGCAGGGTGTTACTGACCACTCACTTAAATGTCATAACCGGGGACAGGAGGGTTCATAGACACGTTGGGCTGAAAGGGACCTTGAGAGGTCATCAAGTCCAGCCGCTGCGCTGAGGCAGGACCAACTGAATCTAGACCATCCCGGACAGGCATTTATCTAAACTGTTCTTAAAAATCTTCGGTGAGGGGGAGTCCACAGCCTCCTGCACAAGCCTGTTCCAGAGCCTAATCGCTCTGTTCTTTAGAAGGCAGAATTCTATCAGCGGAGTTGAAGTTTGAGCAAGACACCAGAGTTTAACACTGCAACTCTCGGGAAAAGACTAGCCAAGGCAGTCTGAACCTCGGGTTTACATCTCAGCCTTCTGAGATCACACAGGACCGGACAGGTAGCTAAGGATGCCAATAAAAAGCACATTCCCATGCAAATTGCTCAAGAACTACGGGTAAACTCAGAAAGCAGGATTTCCAAATCACTGCTCCATCAGAGCAAATTTAAAAAAATCCAACGTCATGGAAAAGGGGAGAAAAAGGCACATCGAAAGGAAGAACAGGAAAGACGGTGAAATAAGGGGAAAACCACACCGAAGGTCATGCATGTTTAAACAGCAACAAAACCATCAGAAACCACCGGTTTAAAGGACACGTGCTGAAAGGAAACTACTCAACAGATTGATGGGCTGGAGAATTGCAAGGGCATCTCTGATTCACTTCAGGCAAATCTGAGCGAGCATACTTCTGACCTGTAACATCCTGCTATACATAAGCCAAGAGCCCAGAATGCATTTCCTGTTGGATCTGTCGCAATGATTATTCATCCATTCATGTTACATTAAAGGCGACTTGCATGGAATTCTTAAAATTAGCTTCATTTTGCTTCTCTAACGAAGGCCGCGGCCAAGTGAAATTCCACACACGTACATTTTTACCTGAGGTACCAGTAATGTCAGCTCCTGCCGACACTAGTTTGGTGGTCTCTGATGCAGACAGAGAGCTCTCCTGCCCCTTACGCAAAGGGCAAAAGTGATGAAGATTTAACAAAAAACGCCCGTGTTCCCAAGTGTGTGTGAGACGCTGGCGTTAACCAGGTGTTAAAAAGCAAGGCAGCCTTCCTAACACTCATCCCCACCCATGTCCTTCATGCCTCATAAGGAAGCAAACTGAGGCCCAGGCCCAGCCTTTGCTCCTGCTTCCCACCTTTATGGCTTCAAGTCACAAAAGCCTCTTTAGTGAAGTCTCTAAACCTTCCTCGACTCCTCCTCCGTCTAATCCCCGAACTGGGGTCACAGCGCATCCCATGCCGTTGCTTACGGCTTTCTGCAATTCACCTCTAAAGATATTGCGCGGTGTCTGCTGATCACCGTTAAATAACGGCTGCGTTCCAAACAAGAGGTAGCTGCATTGCACCGCTGGGCACAGAGAACGCTGTAAGCCCACTGGGTAGTCGCACTCCGTAGAAAGCCTGAATCCATGAAGTGCTGAGCACCCTCCTCTCAGCCGCGTCAGCTGCACAGATCGCGACTAAGACAAACGCTTTGCATCGATACAGCAGTTGACACATTCAAACATTAAGCGATTAACCCGTGAGGCAGGCGGGTCCGTATTAATAGCCCCAGACCAACCAGAGGCAATGAAGTGATTGGCTGAGGCCAGGTATTATGGGTGTCAAAGGCAGGAATAGAACCAGGGTCTCCTGATGCCCAGATCCCCAGCCCCCAAGCCACATTGCCTCTGGGAAGCTGGTGCCACAATTTCACTTACTAGGGCTGGACAGAACATTGGGATCCTCCTCGTTGGAGCTCAGCAGGCGCATGAGCTTGGACGGCTGGGTGTCGTCCAGTGGGAACAGGCTAATGTAGTCCTGGGAGGGGGAAAGCAGAAGATTCAGGCTGAGCTGGAGCTCACGGCGCACCCCCAGCACCTCACAGCCGCATCCCTCCCCGGGGGCAGGGCACAGCACGGCGGGATGAAATCAAGGGCAAAGCGTGTGGCCAGGTGGGGGATTTTAACACGCAGCTCGCACGGCAGCAATCAGAGGTGTGGTCCAGCTCCGTGCGGAGCGATCACCGCACACACGCGTGCGTGCGAAAACGGTCAAGAGAACGAACTTCACCAGCCAACCCCAAAGTATCCCTGAGATGGCAGCCGTCCCTTTATTAGAAAACCAGCTCTCGCGAAAACAACCCGGCTTCCAGCCCATTCTCAGTGACTGCTTAAGATGGGTTTGCCCAGACGTGCACTGTCCACAGGATGTAGATCCATGCACCCCACATACACACACGTACCTCTATGTCCTCTCGGTGCCTCTTCTTCTGCCTGGCCGATGCCTGGCCCTTGTTGTGGGAGGAGTAGGAGCTCAGGGCGCACCAGACAGAGAGCCTAGCATGAGAATCACGGGAAAGGAAAGCAGCGTGAACTGCAGGGGGCGGTTTCCCTGGATTCAGTATTACCTGAGCAGCACGGCAGACGGTGCTCAAGAGGATGTGGGTTCCTGCGCCCGTGGCTGGTTTATTGTTTGGAGGTAGCGTCATCCTCAGCATGAGCTTCCCAACATGACACGGCAGCTTATCGTTCCCCCCTCGCCCCCACGGCTCTACCCACTGAGCCCCACGCACACAATCCAGGAGGCTTCATGCCTCCTGCTAGCCTAGCCAGATTTGCTTAGTCATTGCTTTGAGGGAGGGAGGCAGTGTCTAGAGCAGGAGAACAGGCAGCAGGATGCCTGGGTTCTATTCCCAGGTATGCCAGTGACTTGCCAGGAGAGCATGGGTCCCCCCCACCTCCCAGCTCTAAAAGCTTGCGGTACCTGTCTGTCAAAGGGCCCCGTACTGAGGCAGGCCGGGCGGTTCTCTTACTTGGCAAGGGCCTTGCCAGGCGGGTCCATCAGGGTGTGCCACTTGGAGGAATCGGTGAGCAGGCTGGGTAGGATGTGGCCGAGCAGGGATAACGTCAGCTGCTGCATGTCCAAGCAGAAGATGGCATAGAGGAGCTCCACGGCCCGCAGCGTGTGCTCCTTGCGGGTTTCCTTCAGCAGCTCCTAGGAGGAGATGGTGGAGGACAAATCAAGGAGTGGGGAGTGGATTGGCAACCCTGCCCCTATTGCCATGGATACGGGGATCTCTGGCGGCCATGGCTATCACTCCTGCAAGGAACACACATTACCTGTGCTCAGCAAAAGGGAGGCAGCGTAATGTAATGGTTAGAGCAGAGGTCTGGGAATCAGAATTCATGAGTTCTAGTCCCAGCTTGGCCGTCAACTTGCCACTTCCTCCAACCTCCCCCCCCACACCACCATCTGTGCCTCAATTTCCCCACCTGTAAACCTGGCACCATTCTACATACAGCCTCCTGCCGCCCATCCCCCAGGATGTACCTTGACCAGGTTGTTGCAGAACCAGTAGACGCCCCCCATGTGCAGCAGCGTGTCGAAGATGTGAATGGAGCGACTGTCGACCCAGCCCTTCTCCAGCACCTTGGTGAACACGCCCGTCAGGACCTCCTTGATGGGCTTCTTAGGGGGCAGCAGGTTCCAGTAGGGGATGGGGTCCGTCCCCGTGGAGGGGAATCGGATCTGCGTCGCCGTCTGCTGCAGGACGTCGGCGCACATGCGCTCCAGGATGGAGCTCATTATCACCACGCTGGGAAGCGAAGAGACACACGGAGGGGGCTGAATGAGAGGGTGCCCCGCACCCACAGCCTGCTCTCTGCAGACACCTGCTTCCTGCAACGTCCAGTTTGAGATTTAAAGCTACAAGAGGCAGGAAATTGAGCCAGGGTGGCAAACGTCCATAGCATGGCTCACCTTGTAACGGAGGGGCTGGCTCCAGGACAGCTCGACTCCTCCCCTGCCACTCGAGATCTCCCTCCCCTGGAACATCCCTGGGGCAAGTAACATTTGGAAAACACTGATGCTTCTTTGCCTGCAGCAGCTGGAGAGGAGGAGGAGGAGGAGCCAGCCCCATGCGCCCAACCAGTGCATGGTCGTTCCCTACAGTCTATTCGTCAGAATTCTGCTCAAGCTAGTATTAGATGCCTCTAGTAACAGAGCCCCCTCCCCGCCGGAGACAAGGCCCCAGCCCCATGGGTCCTGCCTTTCCCCACTTGACCTCCCTCCTCACCGCTCGTTGTAGAACTGCAGTGTGTTCTCGCTTTGCAGGGACGTGGCCAGCTGCCGGATCATCTGCAGCGACTTGTCTCGCTCGTCCAAGCCCAGCATGCGGACGTGGGCCACCAGCCAGGCCATGGTGCACACGGCCATGCTGCACACCTTCCCTTTGATGTTATCCGTGATTTTCTGAGGGTGAGACACAGGCAGACAGCTGAGGTTCTGCACCAGACACAAATGCAGCCCCGCCCCCGTTCCAAAGACACCGCTCCATCTCGTGTCGCTGGGGGGTCCTGAAGTGACAGAGCCAAATCCACCCCGGTGTAACTCCATCCGTTTCAGGGGGGTGGGTCTAGCCCCAGGGCCTTGCCCAATCCCGCTGAAGTCAGGGGAAAGCTTGGACCAGCCCCTTGGTGGCAAGTGCTGAAAGCGAACGGTCATACGCAGCGTTTCTACGGTGATCTTTCTCCCCAGACCGCAGAGCACTTGACAGAGTGGAGCGGGGTCAGCGTCGAGATCCCCCCAATACAGATGGGGAAACCGAGGCACAGAGAGGCGCAGCACCTCGCCCCAGGTCACAGGGTGTGTCTCCCCCTACCAAAGGGCTGGATGTTTGTTAGTTTCGAGCTCTGGGGGTGTAAATGCCCAGTGAGGAGAGCTCCCAGCAAAGAGCAAAATCTGATCCCCCAATGCAGGACAAGGGAGATTTGGACTCGGTCCTAAGCGAGAGTTTACACCCGCATCCAACTTTGCTGGCATTAGACACGTGCATTGTGAAGGCTGATACCGCTGAGCGCGTGAGACGCAGATCACACACATGGTGAGCGGTGAAATTCCAAGCCTGGTTTTTTTGTTTTAGCTGAAGGCTGGTGAAAGATGCTGGATTGGCCGTTCTAGAGACCAACGTCCCTGTTTACCAAACCCTTCTGGAAACAACCAGCCCAGGGAGGTTTGTGCCTCGGCTCTACCCCAGCGGGGGAGGACTCGCCCAAGGTGCCCGGGGACGAGCCAGCGCAGCAGCTACCTGAATCGACTCAAAGGTGAGCACTCCGTTCTCCCAGGCATTGAGGATCTCCAGGATGGCCGCCGAGATGCTCAGACATGCCTCGTGCCACTTCATTTGCCTGCCGGGAGGGGGAGGGAGAACTGGTCAGGGGCACAGGATACCTTTAAACGCTCACTCACCATGACCGCAGCAGCCCAAAGAGGCAAGTCAAGTACTGGCAGCAGCATGGGTCCCACGGGCAAGCCACGCCACTGGCCCTCCGCCTAGGCTGGGTTCTGGTAGCTGTTTGAGAGGGGAATGGGCTCAAGCAAACTGCTCTGTTGGGAATCTAGCCCAGCCCAGACTGGAGTATGGGTGGGAGTCGGGTCCCCCCCAACACACACACACACACACCCGCCCCCCACACACACGGGAGCTACGTACACCAGCTTCATTTCCGAGGAGCTGTTCAGCAGAGCGACCAGCGATTCCACCTTGGTCGAGTCGGGCCGGAAGCAGGGATGATCTGGGTTGAGGATTTTCCCCTCCTCCGGCATGCAGGTCTGCATCCAGGTCTCGAAGAACGGCACCTCCCCAGTGGGGCTGGACTCGGAGAGGATCACCTGGAAAGAGGCCCCAAGCAAAGGCATCCTAAGAGAACGCGGAGCAGCCCAGCCAACACACAGCTCACAGCTGAAGCAACAGCAACACATAGTGGCCATCGTGGCTAATGTCAGGTGACTGTTCCTGATGGAAAGGCAAATCCCCGTGGTTCTGGCCAGGTCCAATGAGGTGAGTTACTCTCTGCCCTCGAAAGGTCACTCTCCCAAGGGAATCTCCTTCCCTTCCTGTTGTGCACAGACTGCACATTCCACTCCAGAGGTGGCTGCATTTCAGTGACAGAGTGGAAGCAGATCCTACATCAGCCTCTAAAAAGTGCTCTTTGGAAGGCGGACACGACTGCCACTGGGACCTGGCGAATCTGTCCCGAGCAGGGATTCTTGCCCGGCCAACTCCTCAGGTGCAGAGTGGCCCCAAACCCTCCTAGGGTGCGTCCCTTGCTTCCCTACAAACCAATCACTCCAGGTCCCTGGCAGTGTTTGGGGCAAGGACTTCCCCAACACACCTGTGCACAGGAAATCCCGGCAGCGAGGAAGCCAAGGATTATCCTGGGCTTGCAGGAGCTGGGAGGTTTGCATCAGGCTGGCCTCCTCACCTCTGGTTTGCTGGTGTGTGGAGCCTCCCCGAGGCCCCCACAGCCCGCGTTTGGAAGCAGGGCTGTGGGAGGAGCCGACAAGGAGCAGGCTCTGCTGCACAGCAGGCCAAGTAAAGCATGGAAATACCAGAATGCAAACCAGCTGCAATGCAGCCGAGTGCCGGGGACTCCAGCTGAACCCACCCACAGCACAAGGTTAAACCAAAAGAAACCTGGCTAGGGAGGAGACACGCCCCCCCAAAGAGCTGTTTCACTAGCCACCCAATTCCCTTGCCCAGCTATCCGCCCCCTTCATGAGCGTGTGCGATGCGCCAAAGGACTGAACTGCCAGGTTGTAGGCACGGGAAAAGCAGCCCAACAGGCACCGCATCTGCACTGCCTTCCTTGGCACTGCCGCTTCATTAGTTGTATGGTACCGTCACGGGGGGCCTGTGGGAGCCCCAGATGTAAGGGGGCTGCAGTCCGCCCTCCCCCCCCCCCGGGGCAGTTCGGCTTTTAGACTCTCCAAGGGGGGGAGACGGCTGTGAATTTCCCTGTTCAGAGTACAGGAGGCTGCTGCCTGGGCTACCGGCTGGATTGTGCACTGACACAACGGAGCGGGGTTGGATTGTGGAGTACGGCTGGCTCCTGAGCTGCGGAGATCCACGAATACCTGCATATTTCCCTACCGCGTCTACAGGAATATCACTGCGCACTTCCCTAGCTCTCCAAGACATCACAAACAGTAAGCAAGCCCCACAAGCCCCCGGAGAGAGACCTTTTAGGATTACTTTAAGCAGCACCAAAATGCAGCCGCCTCTGGGGTGACACGCCATTGCTGTTCAGCAGAACCCAGCCAAGCTGCACAAGGGTTTAGGATGGGAAATAATTAACAACAAAGCCAGCTGAAGTCGCAGGGTGCGTTTACTAGCAATCCTTTGTTCCTTTCTATCCCTTCCCCCCAGGGATCTACCAGGACCTTCCAAACTTAGTGAATTAATCCTCACCACGCTCCTGAGAGGTGGGCATTAAAGACTGGGAAACTGAGGCAGAGAGCAGGGAAGTGGCTTTTTCAAGGCCACAGAGCGAGTCAGTAGCACAACCAGAAACAGAACCCAGGAGTCCCGACTCGCCTGTCCTAAGCTTTATCCTCCGTAAGTTAGAAAAAGGAAGGGAGAATGGGAATTTGCCCAGGATAGAGAGGTTAACATGTTTAATAGCGGAGAGAGAGTTCCCCGTAACCACCCCTGGAGCTGCTCACTGCTAGAGCTGTCTGTATGGTATTCATACAGGCTAGGACAATGCTGCTTCCTTACCCAACTGGGGCCCTGGGGGCAAATGGGTGAGAAACAGACCCCCCCAGAATCCAACAGGAACATGGGCATGGACAAGTGAAGGAGCTTGAGCCAGCGTTAGCACCTTCTTTCATGAGCGTCAACAATGTTAACTGTAGTTGCACAGCGCCCCCAGGTGGGCATCTTTATATATTAATCTCTGCCTGAATATCAAAACTAAGCAGGGGGACACAGGATTCAGAGATGGGAAGAGACGTGGATCCCTGAGCCTGTCTCGCCAGAGGTTAATCTGGACCCAGTTCTAGGAAACAAAGCAGGAGTGGGAGGGGATGGTTTTTTCCATCTCCGACTCCTGTGATGTTACAAGGTTACGCCAAACAGCCGCACTTCGTGGGTCTGACACGAGCGGCAGGGGGAGTAGGAACGTGAGAGCTGCGAAGGAACGGGCAGCTTAAGCCAAAGTTAGGAGCGGCCGTTGATTTTCACAGGTTCACAGGCTTCAAAGCGAAAAGGGCTGGCTATGATCATCTGATCTGACCCCTGCAGGACACAGCCCCAGGAGCTCGGCCAGGCACCCCTGCAGCAGATGAACCATTCTGTCATGCCCAATAATGGGGGTGGCCTCAGTTTGGGGGCACCCAGCTGGCAGCCCTTTGACCTGATTTTCACAGGTGCTGAGCACCCGCCATTCACTTCAATTGGAGTCTTGGGTGCTCAATGCTTCTGGGGAGAGGAAAAAACCAAGCAGGCCCTTGGCTAGCAGCTGAAGTCAGCAGCCACTGACAGACGTTTGGCTGGAAGTTAATTTCATGTATCCATTGACACGAGAGTAGAACGGGAGTCCCCACAGCTCCCGGACTCTTGCTCTTTCCAAGCCCAGCCCACTCTTTTCCAGACTGAAAGGAAGCAGGTGAAAATAAATGACCAGATGATCTCTGCACAGATACCCCCAGCGGGTCACCGTCTGCGGCGATCAAACCCACCACCTTTGGATCCAAAAGCAGGAGCTTCTGCCGCCCAAACGAAAAGACCCAGCTCCGTTAGCTGCACCCTCTACGTGACCCAGCCACTAGAGGGACACCAAGAGTCACGGTGCATTAGGCTGGGCTACACACACGCTGCGTGGCCTGAGCTCATGTTATTCATTCAGGATCTCCTAGCTAGATGGCACGAGCTCAGGCTTCCTGGAGACACCAGTCCGCAGAGCCGCACGGACGGGGGGAGCCTACCTCAGAGCCGTAGGTTTGAGCGACGTGGCACAGCATGAGGAAGGAAATGTCGAACAGCAGGGCCCTGACGGAGGCAGCTTTGGCTGTGGAGGAGAAATCAAGTTGTTACCGGAGCTTTCCAACCCCAGCTCGCCCAGCTCAAGGCCCCAGTGGGATGCTATGGAGGGACCCCCCCACACCCCACTGCACTGGCACATGCTGCCTCTCCTGGGGCGCCCGGCGCTCCTACTGGCAGGGAGAGCAGGGCAGTGCTCACACCGCCCAGATCTCCTGCATAGCGGCCTCACCTGAGGGCAGGGAACTTTCACTAACCCCCACCCCACATCCTAAGCCGAGAACCTGCTGCACCGAGCCTGGAGCTAAGCCTTCCCTCCAGCCAATGGAAGGTCAGAGCATTTCACAAGTTTAATCACATGCAAATATATTCAGAATCCTTATCTTGGGTCCTGTGCTCAGACATCATCCCTTCCAAAGAGGGAGGGGCTAAGGGGCACTGGCAGCAGGCCAATTTCCCCCTCCCCCCTCAGGGGGAGGAAAGGGGGACTCATCTCCCCGCCCCCCCAGCACAGAGCCCCCTGACCTGCGACTGAGCGGGGGACGAGCTGCGCGGGCTGCAGGGTAATGCACATGTGCTACTAGAGAGGATAAGAAACCCCAGTGAGCCCTGCACCCAGCCAGAGCGAATCAATGCCCCCTTGTGCAGGCAGCCCCCGGCTGGGACAGTGCTCGCTACTGTTACCCCACGGCGTTAACCCTGCCAGACCGGGGTGCTCTCTGAAAGGGCCCGGGCATGGCTCCTCCACACTCAGCAGTAAGGGGCTCTACCGTTCAAGCTGCCATGTCACACTTACAGCCTTCTCCGCTGATGTGCTTGGTAAATTCATTCAGCCTGAAGAGAGGCGGAGAAAGAAGCAATGAGGCGCCGTAGCCGTGGGTTCGGTCTCTGTGGCTGGTGAAACTGAAACCTCTTTCCCCCCAGAGCAGGGCAGGCTGCCCACGCACGCTGCCCCCCGCCAACCCTCCACGGCAGCTCAGGCCCAGCTGGGACCCTCTCCCCAACCAGCACCAGCCTCCCAGTTCCCACCGGCTCCTTTCTCTGCTGGCCCCATGGCGCAGGCCCTGTCCAAAGATGGAAGGGGAAGGAGACCAGACGCTGGGCTGGGACTCTGTAGGTCTGGTTTCAGTTCCCAGCTCAACGACGCGTCCCCTCGTCACTTCATCTCCCGGGGCCTCCACTGCCCAGGGTCCTTGCTCTCCCCTACCCGGTGTCTGCCCGGTCTGGTTAGCCTGGGAGTCCCTGCATCCGGGACTGTCTCCCTGTGTCAGTGCAGCACGCAGCACACCCTGATCTCGGCTGGGGCCTCTAGCCGCTGCTGCTCCAGCCATCAATCCTAGCCGAGGAACAGCACGTGCCACATCTGACCTGGGTGCACTGAACAGGGGAATCCAGGCTAACACAGGAGATGGCACACTGCACACGCACACCTGTTCTAAGAAGCCGGTACCCCCACATCAGCCTGACCCACTATCACGCCCCAGCTGCATTGGCTCTTTGGTTCGCACTCTCTTTTCATATGCTTGAGTGGTTTGAAGTTTTGAACGTGTGCAAAGTAAAAATAACTCCAAACCCCCAGCCTGGGTTCTGCCCAAGACTGGTCTGACGATAGTAACAATTCTCAAGAATGAGTCCAGCTGACAGGCAGGACTTTAACGTGTCAAAATAGGAAAAGGCCCTGCTTATGTATATTACTGTAGTGCTTGGACACCCCACTTCGGAGTTTGCTGGGTGCTGCACAGAAAACTAGTGAGGGGCATCCCTCTGCTCCAGAGCTCGCCAGCTAAATAGACTAAGCCCTTGTCTACATTAGGAGCGCTTTGCTGCTCCAGGAACACCAGTATATACACACCAGGAAAGCACAGCTAGTGTGGACGCAGTTAAAGCTGCGCTTTCCTGGTACAGTAAAAGCGCCCCACACAAACGAAACAGGCGATATCGGTAAAAGCGCAGCGTTGTCAGTAAAGCTGCGTCTACACTTAGGGGCTCCTGCTGGCACAGCTAGGCGGCTCAGGGATCACATCCCTGACTGATGTAGCTACCCTGGCAGAATTTTGTAATGTAGACATAACCTAAGGGATGGAGGGGAAACTGAGGCACGGAGAGGGGAAAGGACTTACCCAAAGTTGCACAGCAAGTCCATGGCAAAGCTGGGAATAGAACCCAGGAGTCCTGACTCCAAGTGTATGCCCTGCCCACTGGGCCCAGCTGCCTCAATTTGGCTTAGCACGTGCACTCCCACATCAGCTGGTTTTAAAGTAAACGAGTGCAACCCCACAATTCTAGCTCGTTATTTTTAATGCACCATCCAACAGCACAGCTTTTCCCCTGCCCGCCTGGGGACAGCAAGGGATTGTTTGTTTTCGATATCGTGGCAGGGGCAGGTGGATTTTGTGCCAGGGTGGTATGTTTCCAGCACAGGAGGCTAACAAACCCCCCGCATAACGATCTGAGCTCTGAACATCCGCAGACCCATCTAGGGATTGCTGAAAAGCACCGATTAAAGACACGTTCTCAAAGCACCACAGGGCGCTTTGAAGTACAGCTCCCACTGCCAGCCGAGGCCGATGCGTGGCCAAAGCCGGCTGCGTCGCTGCATCCATCACGTGAGAGGACACACAAACCAGATTGATCCAGCCTCGTCGTATCTCCTGCATGTTTGCGGCCACCAGCTTCCCTCATTTTGCTCAGAGGTGGGAGGTCTGAGGCACAAACATGCTACACGGCTGCCCTGGCACCCTGCGCCCAGTGATAACCCAGCACAGACAGTCTCTCTGGAGTCACTCACTTGATGAACTTCCGAGCAAAAGATTTCAGCTTCCCCGTCGCTGCCGCAGCTGCCAACAGCAGATCCAGGCTCTTCCCAGAGAGCATGTGGCCCAAGACACCGAGTAGCCCCTCGGGGGATTTGGAGTGATCTGCATCCATGGTCTAGTGAAAACAGGGGGGGCGGGGAACAAAGCAGTTTTAAACAGTATTATAAAGCGGCTGTAGAACTCTGGGCACGACTGGAGCTCTCTGATTGGCTGTCGGTAACACCATATGCAAGTCAGTCATCATCAGAAGCCATGTGGTTCTGGTCTACATGAGAAAATGAGAGAGGGATCAGACCTGCCAGACAGCGCTCTAGCATTGCTCAGCCACCACCCAAGGACAGCTGTAATTACCCATAATCCACCACCTGCTGCAGCTCAAGAGGGACCTGTGGAACAAAATGTATTTGCTGATTCCGAAGCTTGGGCTCCTACGCGCTCTTGGGGAGCGTGGTGGCCATAACAATGCAGGGAAAGACTGCATCCGCCTGCATGAGCTGTGTGCGTGTTATCCAGAGAGAAAGGAGCTGGGAGCAGGACGGTCACAGAGTTCTCTGCCTGCAAAGGCCTGAGTCATGCTGTTACAGCCCAATGCTTTCACATGCTGCATAAGATCACTGCTACCAGACGCAGTTAAAGGAATGGCTTGGCATGGGGAACAGCCCCTCTGACTCTTACCGCCACTAGAGTGGAACAGGACAGCGGTCGATCCCAATGGCGCGGCATAGGGCTGCTGGCGGCCAGCCGCCCCCAGTGAGCCTGCCCCCAAGGCTGGCTAGAGGTGCCGCCTTTCCCCCAGCACTGGGAGAGAACCTGGAGCATTACAGCCGCTCACGAGCGATCAAGGGTCCCAGCAGCGGTCTGGGACAGGGGGCACTGGGGAAGTTACCTTGAGGATGTTGGTGACAGTGGGCTCGGCTCTCAGGATGAGCCCCGGGTTGGGCTGGATGTTGGCATTCTCTGCCGATTTCAAGCGTGGCGCATGCTCCCGGTCGGCCGTCCTGGGGGGGTGGGAGGGGATATGCATGGAGATGAGGGAATCAGAGAGGAGGAGCCCCCTCTTCCCCCTGCTTTCCAAACAATGCGATCCCCCACTCCCTTCTCCAAGAGTGCCATCTACACCAAGAGGGTCAGGGTCAATACAGCCCGCGGGAATGCAGCACCCACGCCCCTCCCCACGTAGGGAGCCTGTGGCCAGCCAGACCAGCAGATCTGAGCCAAGGAGGCAGTTCCCTGGGTCAACAAGGCCCCCTTCCCTCCCAGCCCCCATAGTGTGCTCAGCAGAGTCCAGCAAAGCCCTTTCTATTCAAGCTGGGACACCTAGAATCTTTTAGCCCCCGTCTCACTGGCTCTTTCTTTAGGGTTTTGATGGCTGGTTAGATCCAAGCTGTCCCGTTAACTTCCTCACAGCGGAATAAAGACACTCAGAGCCCCCAGAAGTGATTCCCGGGGGGACAGGATGGCAGCAAGACCCAGCTGCTATCAATGTGCAGGAATTTCACAGGGGAGCTCCCAAGGCAGCAGAGCTGGGGACCTACCGTTTGGCGACCAGGTTGGTCATGTGGGCCTCAGACAGCAGTCCCTGCTTGCTACACTCCTGCAGGAGCAGACTGGTACAGTCACAGCTGGAATTGAGAGAGATGGAGCTAAGGGCACAAGGAATCACACACACACACGCTCACTGACCCACGTTAGGGTGGGAGCGGGAAAGCAGCTACTTCAGAGAGGCCAGAGCTTTCATGCGTCTGACCAAAGCAAAGGAGACGGCATTGTGAAGTGCGGGGTCAGGACTCTGGGGTTCCAGCCCCACGTTTAGGCAGATGTTGGGAGCCTAGTAACTCAGACAAGAGACGGGCTCAGAACTGAGTTCTCTCTCTTTGGCATTATCAGGCCACTGTACCACTGGGCACATTAGTTCTGTCAGAACGGGGCTAACAATATTTACCCACCTCACAGAGGGGCCTGCCAGCTTGTTTGTTTGTAAGGTGCCTCGGAAGCGGAGAGCGTTATGAACATGGGACTCAGCTGTTAGGAGGGGAAATGAGGCACGGGAAACTTGGGGAGAGAAAATCTGCCCTCCAGACTGTACGCCAGCCTCAGGAACAGCCAGCGGGAAACGTGCCGGCAGTGGTTCAATACCGCCTCAACGGCGAAGAGCAAAGCCAGGATGCTGTAACCAGGCACTGAAGGCTGGGCTGGGCGTTATGCCACAGATCCAGGTGCTCAGAAACCAGGGATTAAAAGTAAAATTGGATCCAAGTTTTCTACTAGGTGTTAAGCCCAGGACACAGGCCAGTTTTACCCATTCGGGGCTGTGGGGCTCCTCCAGGAAGAGGGACGTGCTGTCCCCATGGTTCTGTGTGCAGCCCAATGGTTCTCAACGGAATCCAGCCATTCCCACGGCAGTGAGGCGGAGGAAAGACCCTGCACATGGCATACAACAGCCGGGCCTTTCCACATGCTTAGGCCCTGTCCCCTGGGTGCTCCGAGGTCAGGCGCAGACACAGGAGGGAGGAGGACTCACTTGCATCGCTGATCAGCTTTGTCCAGCAGAGGGGTGAGTTTCAGCAGGAACTCAAAGGCACAATTCACGTCCTCGGTGAAATCCTGCAGCCACACAAGAGGCAAGCGCTCGATCAGACCTCGCTTCACAAGGTACATGAGATTCTTTCAGCTCAAGCAACAAAGCCACTTAGAAACTGGGCTCGATTCTTCCCCATCAGCTGAATAACTCTGCACAACTTCACACTGGTGGCCCAACAGAGTGTTGGCCGGTCAGTGTGACGTTAGCAAAGGGACGGATTATCCTATCGTGCTTCCAGGACAAGGGGAAGGCTGGGCAGCCAGAGTCTGCTATTCAGAGGTGCCGGCTCTCACTGCGGTCACAGCACTGCAGGAACACAACCCTCAGCACCAACGGGAGCTGCAGACGCTTGCCATGAAAGTCAGGCCCCGCCCTCCGATCGGGCATTACAAGCTGACATCCACTGCTCAGCAAGGAGAGGGGGGAGATTCTCAGGAACGGGCTGGGCTGGTGTTTTATTGTGGAGTTCCCACCCCTCGAAACAAAATCACCCACAGCGATAGTAAAAGAGCGCTGGGGTAGCGCAGCCCAGCAGGGACGACCTGTGACCACTGGCTATAAACCTTCCCACACCGTGTGTCAGCCTAGACCAGCTATTACAGCGGGACCCCATCCTCCCATCGCACCCCTGAGGCCAGGAGGTGTCTCCTCCCCTGGTGACGTCTCGGCTTTTAGCCTGTAAGCTCCTGGGGGCAGGGACTGCCCTTGGCCACATGGCCCCAATGTTGCCGAGACTTATGGTTACGGACACGAGGGGTCCTGCTGACCAATCAGATCGTTCCTGGTGCAAAACTGAGCACGGGCCTATGTCTCTGAGGGAGCAAGGTCTATATTTGCACAGTGTCTAGAACAACAGGGCCCCAAACTGGCTGGGAGGGGTGAGGGTTTATACAGAGCCCCTGCTAAGGCGGAGGGGGAAGGAGGACCCTGGTATGGGAGGCACACACAACCCCAGGCAGAGGGGCCGAGTTTCAGAGAGTCCCTGAAATAGAGGTAGGTAGGAGGGTGGCACTCAGGAGTTGGGGGAGGGATGCAAGGAGCCCCTGGTGTGTACAAGCTCAGACAACACAAGTTACAAAGCACGTGACCTCCCAGGCTATTAGACCGTAAACTCTTTGGGGAAGTGACTGTCCGCTACTCTGGGATTGTACAGCGCCTAGCACAATAGGGCCTTCATCTCATCTGGTCCCTGGGCACCTCCATTACAAACATGATCTGTGTGTGTGCGCATTGTGTACACACACACGCTACTGCACTGTAAATGATCCATACTAAATACGAACAGTCACAGCAACTCACCTTCTCTCCCTGGGGGTATTTCTTTAGTTTAACCAGAACCTGAGGGATCTGAAAGAAACAGTTGTTTCAAACATTCAGATCTAGCCCAAGAGATCCCGGGTGCAGAGAATCAGGCTCATGCAGCACGACACATGGCTCCCACTCAGGAGTCATGGCAGAAGACACCCAACCTAGAGGAACCCCCCCTAAGAGCTGCCCCACAGATCCATCTAGTCAACGCCCTGGGACCATCTGGTCCCAAGGAACGTGGGAGGGAAGCCCCCTAGTGGACATTTATGGGATCGCCCGCACAAAAGGGAAGCGTCACAGTTTCTTCCTAACCCACCTCCCCATCACTCAGAGCGGGCTTCGGCCCTGAAGCAGGAGCATCTGTTCATTTCCACGAGGTCCCCGATTCCCTTCACACCTGTCAGTCCCAGCAGAGATTACAGGGGACGAGATGGAGGAATACGAAGCTGTAACGTGTTGAGCTTGTTCTGGGGAACCAGTTCCTATCCCCCGTCCTTTTTTTTTTTTTTTTTTTTTTTTTACAAAGAGCGGACAAGAGCTGGGACAGGGGATCCAGGGCCATCTGCTGCTGTTTACATTGGGGAGGGGGGAAGAAAGAAGCTGAACACATAACCTTTCCGTCTGCCAAGGACAAAGGAGGAATGCGAAAAAGCAACAGCACCGAGGGCTTAGCATAACACTTACTTCCCCCTCTGATCTAAACCAGACAGTCACTTAGCATTTCGAAGGCATTCTGCAAGCATAGCCTTCCTGGAAGGCGATCACCCCTGCTTTACAGCTGGGGAAACTGAGGCGGGCATGGCCAAAGCAACATGGCAGTGCTAAGAACAGAACCCAGGTCTCCTGGCTCTCAATCATGCGCGTTAACCACCATCCCCACATTGCACACTGGGACCAAAAGCTCTGAGGAGAAACGCATGAGGCATGGGGGGGAGGAGGCAGAGAAGCTACTGAGATTTGAACCTTGGGATCATCGCCACGTTGCTGAGCCAGCTCTCGGCTGACATATAAGATCAGGGCATCTCTGCATACAGCTGGATCAAGTCAAGCCGATGTCATGTCCCACAAGGGCGCAGGTTCTCCATTAAGCCAAGACCAACCGCGCCCCACAGCCAGGAACAAAGTGAGATGAAAGCTGTTTTGCAAAACTAAAATAAGCCCGACAAATCAATGTTTGGTGGCTTGTGTAAAGGGCTGCTGCCTGGGGGCTCAGCCTCCGAGCCTGCGATTTAACATGCTGTGTACAGCTGGGGCATGAAAAGGGTCCCCGGGGGGACGCAGTGGGAGAGGAGAGAGAATTGCTGCGCCAGGTTTTGGCGCTCAGCAGGGTTCCGGAGGAGCCAGGCAGTGGCAGACTCTGGGTTCTCAGCAGGGGCGGGATGCAGGACAAGGGGTTACCTTAAGGAAGGTGAAGGCCGTCCATTTCAGCTCCTCCGTCCCCTCCGGGGACTCGATCAGGCCCACGAAGCAGGCTTTCCAGATCTCCAGCACAAAAAGCGGTGAAGGAATGCGCTACAAGTGGGATGGAACAGATCTCAGACCCAGAGAGTCTAAGGTATGCCACCCACTCCACCCCCCACCCCATACACACACCCTACTGCGTGGGTCGTCAGCGGGGATCGAACCTGGAGCCTCTTGATTTAAAAGCAGGTGCCTCTGCTGCTTGAGCTGGAGGAGTAACTCCATTCACCAGAGGCACAAGCAGACTCCTACACGGACCAGCCACGAGGGTAGGGCAGAGACCCACCCGGCACTAATGGGGGTGACGCACAACTGGATTTGGAGGGAGTCGTACTTCCCTGCATTTCTGTGCGAGATCAGGGGCCAGCCTCAGCCTCACCCCCTCTGGTGCAAGACGAGAAGTGCCTGCCAAGGCCAGACAGATTCAGCACCACAGCTGGGATTAGAGCTCACGAGGCCCGGCTTCCAGTCCCCCTCGGCCACGCTGCCTCTCTGAGTCAGGATTCACCCAGGACAGGGAGGAAACGAGCTGCTGCTCCTTCGCTGTACCTGCATCCGCTTCACCATCATCAGCTGTTCCACGAGAGGCTGGGTCTCTCCCGTGAGGTTCATGGTTCCTTCCAGCAGCACCACGGCATGCACGGTGGGGAAGCCGGTTTTGTTCAGCTGCTCGGAGTGGGCTGAGAGCATGGTGGGTATGCTGCCAAAGAAGAACAGTGGTAATCGGGCAGGGGGCTCGAGTGATCGTGGGGGACACCCTACACCTGCCAGAGCTGAAGGTCATTGGGTTTGAACCCTCCCCTATGCTGCTGCCACGTCTGGGTCAGGACAGGGGACGGCCCTTAGACTCTTCTCTGGTTTGACAGATGAACCTTTGGGCACTGGCTAGGTCATTGGTGTTTAACACCCTGGGCGCTGGGCTTGTCCACATGGGGAAGTGAGTCCGAAATAAGGTCGGGTGAGAGTTTAAAGACTCTGGCTAGCTCCCTGCATGGACACTGTTAGTACAGAACAGAATCCACGTGGGCCTTATTCCAGAATCGCTATTCCTGCCATGTTCCCATGTAGACAAGGCCGGAGAGTTAAAGGGGGAGGGGCTGCTGAGGGGGTACCATGAATGGGGCTTCCAGCCGGCGACGCAACTGAGTTCCACCTAGCCCGGCATCCTCCCTCCCCGCTGCCAGCTCCCAACCCCTCCATTGACTCAGGGGCAGGACAGGCTGTACAATGGGCACAGGAGACGCCCGGGAGGAGCATGAGGCTCTCTGACCTCTTGGGCTTCTTCTGGCCAGCAGCAGAGGAGCAGGGACGCAAACAAGGGCGAGAGCAGAGTCCACAGGCATCAGCCGGGAGCCCTCTTGGGATGCGTCAACGTGAGCCGCCCGCTCATCCCCAATGCTGCTCCCACAGCTACCCTTGCTGTCCCAGCCAACAGGCAGAGCAGGTGCATGGATCCCCCGCCCCACCCGCCCCCAACTTGTCACCCCAAGCGCCCGGAAGGCAAAACAGTGGGGCTACCTCTTGATCAGGGAAATGCACTCGTCTGCCTGGCTGCGCAGCTGGGGGTGGCTGAGGCTGCTCAGATTCTCCCCCAGTTTGATCAGCGACTGCTCTATGGTGCTCCACGAAGCTGGAAGGAAAAGGGGGGGCGGGAAACGTAAGATTTTCAATGCGGGGATCCCAGGGAGTATCTGAGAGTCCCAGCAGGTCTGTACAGCGGAGAGGTCCTGGCAAGGGCTGGGACTTGCCTAGGAGCTCAAGGGAGTAGGCAGCCAAATCCCATTGGATTTCATTGGGAACGAGGTGCCCGACTTCCACAGGCGCCTGTGGGAATCGCAGCCGAGATCTGTTCTGCCTCAGAGTTGCTCTGGGACACCGCTCGGCTTTGCACAGCACCTCTCCAGGTGTGCTGGGGAAAGCCCTACCACAAGGGAGCGAGTCTGCAGCAGCCATTAGCTCCCCCAGCCTTCATGCTAAGCCGACTCCTCTTCCGGGGCGGCGGGGACCAGAGGGCAGGCAGCACGGGTGCCATGTCAGGGAGCAGGTGGCTACAGCGATTGAGACAGCAGAGGAACAGGTGTTGGAGCAGCAGGGACAAAGAAGGCTACGGGAGCAGTGATGGCAGGGCTTGGCTGAGCGGGGGAAAGGAGAGGAGGAGTGGAAGACCATCCCCCAGGGGATGGCAGCGAGAGAGTCAAGGGGAGGGAAGCTCCGGAGTTCAGGTCTGGCCATGGCAGAGACACCAGCAAGACAAGACAAGGTGAGGGGGTGGGACGGACGGAGCGACACCGGTAATGGCCCAGCGACATACACGTCTCTTCCAGCTTGCCGATGTGAATCAGGGCCCGGTTTTTGGCGCTCCCCAGGATCTTCTCCAGCCGCTCCAGGCACATTTTCAGCTGGTTCTCAGCAGCCGCCTGGTCCAGCATCTCTTTGAACTTCTCCGTATAGAAGGCCGCGCAGCGCAGCATCCAGTTGAGGGCGCTCATCAGGGCCCGGCATAGGCCAATGCACTCCTCCGCTTTGCCATGGCAGCTGAGAGAGGTGGGCAGAAGAAAAGAGTAGGTTTGAATGTCTCATGATGGGACCTTCCCCTTATTCCAGCTAGCCAGGCTCCCCCACCACTGCAGCATCCAAACAGCTAACAATCCTACAGAGCGAGGTCAGCTTAACTACATCCCGCAGGGCTGTGAGAAAACCACCCCCTGTGCAACGTACTTACACTGACCTAAGCTCTGGTGTAGACACCGCTAGGTCCATGGACGAATCCATCTGTCAACCTAGCTACCACCTCTCGGAGAGCTGGATTTACTACAGTGAGGGAAGAACCCCTTCAGTTAGTGGAGGAAGGGTCTGCACTACAGTGCCACAGGGGTGCTGCTGCAGCGTTTCTAGTGTAGACACACCCAAAGGGAGATGCTCAAGGTCACACAGGGAGCTGGGGAATTGACCCCAAGCTCTGCACCTTAACCACTGGACCATCCTTCCTCCTATTCATGTGGCTGAATTTCATCCACCTGTTGACTGTTTTTCCCTCCTCGACTCGCACAAAGCACTTTGTCACGCTTATAACCTCCAGTAGGCTGAAAAATCTCACCATCTCGGGGTGTTCCTGGCCTCTCCGGTCTTTTAATTAAAGGGATACTTTTCTAAGCCCCCAATTGAATTATCTTGCCAAAAGTGATCAGCATTGATCAACAAACTATGGGGTGGGAGTTCTCCTTCTGGAGCACAAATCAGAGGTTTGGATCTAATTAAATGGAGGATCAAATTAACCGGGGACTGGATGAAGCGGCCAGCTTTGTATTTGGCCAGCGGCAGCTCCTTGTCAACAGTTGGTGACAAATTAATATTAATTGTTGCAATTCTGCTTCATGAAATATAAGAGCAGCTATTTCTGCTTTCCTACCCCATCTATTCACTCCCCTGCACAGACTAACCTCAGCAATATCGTTGATGCCTTTAAACAGGTTTAGTTGGGTTTTAAGGTAAACTACAAGCATTCTGGGTTTGAGAGAAACGGTTTAATGCCCCGAATCATCGACAGAACATCAGCCCCTCGCTCGCTCTCTGGACACAGTCTCAGCAGCGTCACAGCAAACGCCTACTGACTAGCAAAACGCAAATGCTCAAGGTTGCAAGAATGGCCAGCTGTGTTCAAAGACAGAAGTAGGAAGGGCTGCAACAGTGAGGTGCATTGGCAGTGCTGGGTGTGCACAGCCCAGGACCATGGAGCAGGAGGTGCCGCAGGTGAGGACTGAGATGCATTAGCAGGGATATCATCCCTCCCATTGACGGTTTAAGCCTACCTCTAACTACTGGGGCTGAGGAAGAAATCTTTCCATGGACGCAGGTTACCCCATAATGCCAGATGCAGGGTTTCTTGTACCTTCCTATAAAGCAGGCACTGGCCATGGGCAGCAACAGGACACTGGCCTGGACAGGCCACTCTGGCAATTCCTATATGCCCTGTGTTTAGCGCAGCTGTGTGGGGCGTCCAGGACTAGACTAGCAGGAGGGCTGCCAATCAAGGTGCACAGGCAGAGCTGAGAGAAGTGACCTGCCCAGATCCTACACCACGGGCTGCCAAACTTTTGTTTGGCATGACCCCATTGTAACGAACCACTTCCTCCTGGGACCCCAGACAGCAGGATGACGTCATTTTCAAGGGCAAAATGGCATCCTCCGCAGAGCGTGACCTCGCACACACCACAGGTGAGGTCACATTGCATGGACGATGCCATTTTGCTCTACAAAATGGCGTCCCCCATGCAGCGTGACCTCATACATATGGTGCATGTGAGGTCATGCTGTGCAGAGGATGCTACTTTGTAGAACAAAATGGCGTCCTCCATGCATCGTGACTTCGCATGCATCATACATGCGAGGTCACCAAGTGCCATCCTCCGTCCACTAGGGATCACTGCGACCCCACTGGCTGATGGCACGACCCCATTTGGGGGTGCGACCCACAGTTTGGGAACCGCTGTCCCACATATCCACTACTCCTGGCTCGTCAGTGTTATGGATCTTTGCCTTTGAGGGGCATTAGAACAACTCCTCCCACAGCGTCATCACACAGCCCTTCAGAAGAGAGCACGATGGAACAGAACAGCAGCATGGTACCTGAGCCGATCACACAACATATCCATGATCTCCAACAGGGACTGGACGCAGAGCTCTCGGGAGAAGTCATCGAACTACAACACAGGAATACAAGGGGATCTTGAAACCAGGCACATTGAATCCAGATTTCAGTTTTTAAACAGAAACATTAAAAGATAGTCTGCGTCCCACTCTGGGATAGGACAGGGCTCCCAGCCAAGAGTTTGTATTGGCAGCTAGTTCACAGCTAGTCAGAAATGAAGGATGTATTAACAGGAATGGTGTAGGCAAGACACAAAGTAATTCTACCACTCTGCTCAGCACCGATGAGACAGTTCTGGGCACCGCGCTTCAAGAAAGATGTGGACAAATTGGAGAAAGTCCAGAGGCGAGCAACAAAAAATGATTAAAGGTCTAGAAAACATGACCTACGATGGAAGAGTGAAATAAATGGGTTTGTTTAGTCTGGAGAAGCAAAGACTGAAGGGAAACATGATAACAGTTTTCAAGTACGTAAAAGGGTGTTATAAAAAGGAGGGTGATAAATTGTCCTTCTCCACTAAGGACAGGACAAGAAGTACCGGGCTTAAATTGCAGCAAGGGAGGTTTAGGTTGGACATTAGGAAAAACTTCCTGTCAGGGTGGTTAAGCACTGGAACAAATTACTTAGGGAGGTTGTGGAATCTCCATCATAGGAGATTTTTAAAAACAGGTTAGAGCAGTGAATCTCAGTGGTTCATCAGCCAAATTAGTGATCAACATTACCTAGAAGACCCACAATCATGTGAATTCATTGTCTCATTTACTATAGTACTATTCCGATGTAAACAGTAGGACCGGGGAAATATTTATATACATTATTCTCATAGCAAATAAGTTAATAACTTAGTGCAAGTTGATAACTTAATTGGTTAACAACACAGTAAAAGCCTCCTGATTGGTTAATAATTAAATCACACAGTGTTTTAATATCATGTGCTGCAAAGAGCCGCAGGAGACACATTAAATAGCCACTTGCGGCTCACGAGCCTTGTCTGAGTATCACTGGGTTAGACAAACGCCCGCCAGGGATGGTCTAGAGAATACATAGTCCTGCCTCAGTACAGGGGCCTGGACTTGATGACCCATCAAGATCTTTCTAGTCCTACATTTCTATGATTCTAGGTCAATGTTTCTCAACTGGTGGGTCGCGACCTGCCGGGAGGGGATCATGAAAGGCAGTCAGGGGCCACCAAGGGTTGGAAGTTTTATTACAATCTAAAGCAAAGAAAATCTCACTCCCCCACTGCCCACATGTTCTTACCCTTCACGTGATCTCTGTCAACCTTAGAATATATGGAGATAGACCTATCTCATAGAACTGGAAGGGACCCCGAAAGGTCATCGAGTCCAGCCCCCTGCCTTCACTAGCAGGACCAAGTACTGATTTTGCCCCAGATCCCTAAGTGGCCCTCTTGAGGATTAAACTCACAACCCTGGGTTTAGCAGGCCAATGCTCAAACCACTGAGCTATCCCTCCCCACAACCTAACCTCTCAACTCTCACACATAAATATTAAAGCATTATCATCATCAAACCTTTATTCCCTTTATTTCTATAGTAAACATAAGGGCTTGTGAAAAATTTCTGACTGAGAACAAGGGCTCCCCACCTTAAAAGGCTGAGGAACACTGATCAGGTAACTTACTCTAGCAACCACTAGCATTCTTTCATATGAACCACTTTTTACCCATAGCACCCTGTGCTGGGAGTGCATTTCCCTCCGTCACTAAAACACAAGGTCTCCATGGACAGATTTTCAGAACGGTTCATTGCCCAGTAAGAGCGGCCAGACTGGGTCAGGCCAATGGTCCGTCTAGCCCAGCATCCTGTCTTCCGACAGCGGCCCAATGTTGCTGGCTTTAAGTATTAACGCCACCATTGCTGGAGTTGTCGACTGCTGTGAAAAGGATGTGCCAGCATGTGGTTTTAAATGTGTCGTACCCACATGGTAGATGGATTAGGCTTTTAAACTTGTCTCGCAAGGAACTGCGCGCAGTTTCCCAAAGGAAAGGCAAAGTGGTCTCTTTCCATTGATGGTGAACAGCCTGTTCCACATAGCAGGGACATAGAAATGTAATCTCTTTGGTTTGTGCCATCTGATCATTGCTGACTCAGCAAAGGATGTCATTTTCCGCTTGACCTATATCTGGTAGGAGTTAGTAGGACAGAAATGGATGCATAGATTGTAGGTAAAATGAAAGACAGCATCCGTCAAGATCTACCTTACTGATGGCCGTCAGGACGGTGGAATAAGACACCATCTAGGAACAAAAAAGAGAGAGCAAGAAAGTTATTAGCTAACATTTTAAAATGCAATTGCTGTTGCCAAGGAATAATGAGGTCATTTTACAGCTGCGCAACTTGTCTCTTAAAAAGGGGCTTTGGCAGTGACCCAGCACAAATTTAAAGAGACATTTTTAGGTGATCACTGATTTGCTTTACACAAACTTCACATTAAACTACAATTTTAAATAACAAGCTAAGGAAAGCAAGTGTCTGGCAGCTGAGGCACTGTCTAGAGGGCAAGGGATCTCTATGCCAGCCTGTATGCACAGGCCACCATCAGAAGCTTCGTTGCTTTGGCACGTACTGATCAGGGGGACACTCCGCCACTATCTCCTTGCGGAGGAGAGAAGCATGATTGAGTACCACACTGGGAGACAGGAAATTCTGAATTCCAATCCTGGCTCACACACCGACTCCCTCTGTGGATCTAGGCAAGTCACTTATCTTCTGAACCTTGGTTTCCCAGGAGCAACAAGTCCCCCAACTCGGGGTTGGGAAGGGTAATTCCTCAGTGTCTGTGAGGCACTTTGAAAAGGGGAAGTGCTACGGAGGTTGTTACCTGGGAACTGATTGCATATTTCAGATAGGACAAGATCAGTGGGTTGGGTGATGGGCCAATCATGGCCTGTTCAAGAAGAGCTTCTGAAATGAAAACAAGAAAGGCCGGAGATTTCAGTTCAGCTAACACATGATCTCTCATTGTCGGCACATCCCACAAGCAGGAAGGGAGACAAAGAAAATATTGCTGATCCCAAAGATTTAGCACAACGCCTTCTTTAAATTAAACCAATCCTACAACGGTCCGTTCCCAGTAGCAGAGGACAATAAATAACTTAGGAAGCATAAAGCATCCTGCCGCTAACTCAGCTCTTGCAGAGAATCTTGGGCCAAAATGGAACCCACTGTCTGAAAGTTGCTGTTATCAAGGTGCATCACCCTTCTTAGACTCATAGCGTTTAAGGTCAGAAGGGACCATCATGATCGTCTAGTCTGACCTCCTGCACAACGCAGGCCGCAGAATCTCACCCACCCACTCCTGTAATAAACCCCTAACCTATGTCTGAGCTACTGAATCCTCAACTCATGGTTTAAAGACTTCAAGGTGCAGAGAATCCTCCAGCAAGTGACCTGTGCCCCAGGCTGCAGAGGAAGGTGAAAAACCCCCAATCTGCTCTGGAGGAAAATTCCTTCCCGACCCCAAATATGGCGATCAGCTAAACCTTGAGCATTTGGGCAAGACTCACCAGCCAGACACCCAGGAAAGAATTCTCTGTAGTAACTCAGATCCCACCCCATCTAACATCCCATCACTTACTTCCAACTTACTGGGGCCCAATGATCTGGGAGAAAACCTCTGCTCACACACATCTCTTGGTTGTTGCCACAGCTGGGTGGCTTTTGCTATTGGTTCCTGACTCTCCAGGCCTGGCGAATGGCCCTTCTGCTGAGAATGTCTGGGTGCTTTTGGCGCCCGCTTCCCCGGGCAATTCCCCTGCCAAAGCCTGGGTTTGGCAGCTCACGGGTGCAGTGCACGTCCTATCTGTTCAGTCAAGCTTTTAATTGACCATTTGAACTACTGCAGCAGCGCACGGAGGCTGCCTCACAAAGGCAGACCCATATTTTGCAGCATTTGTTTTAATTAGTCTGAGGCAGCCAGACGCTGGAGGTGGAAGCTGCCGTTTGGGAATCTCTACATAAGTGCATCCCTCACTTTCTTGGAGGGCAATTGCTCAAAAATAATGCACCAGTCTGGATCCCCAGACTATAATAAATCACAAGCACTGAATCAGAATTGTTGGCTGCAAGACACATCCTAGAGCTTGCTCAGCAATTATGGACACTGGGAAACTAAATGCATCTTTCTGCTCACCAGAGAGAGAGAGAATTCTAACGGTAACTTTCCCCTTCCCGTCATCCTGTAACCAGGGAGCATGACACAACCCAGGCGAGACATTATGATCCATCGCGGATGTATCACTACAGCTCCGCCAGGCACTGGGGCTGTTCTGGCATCTCGCGGCCAGATATTTTCCTTCGGTCTTTGGATTTGAAAGCAGCGTCTGAACGTTAAAAAGCACCGTTCTAGGGCTAATGCATGGGGGGTTTAAAGGAAATCACCTAATCCGAAATTACGAACAAGGATGATCATCAGAGCTCTTCCACGTGACAAACCAGTCCTCCCTGGACTCCCACAACCCTGTCATTATTTGTATTAAGGTAGCACTGCTAGAAACCGCAATCGAGACCAAAGGCCCATTTTATGGACACATCGTAAGAGACAGTCCTTACCCTACACAGACGAGACAGGCCGTGGGTGAAGGGAATATAGACTCACAGCGAGGGGAACAGACTTGCCAAAGGCTGCACAGCAGTGACAGAACTGGGGCTAGAACCAAAGTCTCCAGAATCTGCCTAGTGCCTTTCCGCTGCCTCCCATCCCCCTGCCACCCACATCACTCAGGTTAGCCTCTTCATAACGGGGAATCACTGGTTCACCTGTGCTGCCTCATTTCTACACAAACTCTACAGATGACAGAGAGACTCTGTTATAACTGATATGGGCCAAAAGTTTCAAATACAGGAGCGTAAACTCAAGCTCCCGCATGCAGATTTAGGCAACGACATGGAAGTGCCCTGAATGTCAACAATTCTGAACGGCTGCAATTCCCCTGCCCCAGCAGAGCTGAGGTTACGTGGCTAAATCTGGACGTAGGAGCCTAACTTTAAGTACCTGGGTTTGAAAATATTAGCCACCCACCGTGCCCAAACGGTGCTAAATACGGTCAAGGCCTAGAAGAGGCAGAATCTCTGCCCCGAATGAGCTTACCATCTAAGAAGATAAAGTGCAGACAAAGGAGTGAAGGCAGGAAACAACAGGCAGAGAGGAGCGTAGGGCTGGGAGGAGGAATACACAGCCGCTACGGGTGGCTGAGCTCTGAAGCGGGTTAGTCTCTCGGTATAGGTGTATTTTTACGGTTACCGTTTACAGAACTTGAGGGGGAGAGGGGTTAGCTATATCCTATCACAATGCTATCTGAAGGATTTTTATCTTGGGACTGATTTGCAGTACACGACAGTTATAAGTGGTAACTCAGAGTCACAGATCTTCCATGTGGATCATGTGGTACCCAGTAAATTCTTTTGTATGACAAGTATCAGATCATGCAGGGCTTTAAAAACAAAAGCTATTCACCACTGGTGAATGGGGAGCTTTCTATAATTAGGGGAGGGGAGCACTAAATGATACATTTCTGCAGCTCTCAAAACACTACCTTTCTAATCCTAGTAGTTCTAAAGAGCACACGCCAAATATAAATACAGCGTCGTCTTCCTGAGCCTGCAGACTGCCTCAGTGCCGCTGCTCAGAGCTTTTCCAAGCAGCACCACAGCAAAAATAATAGAACACTAATCAGTTTCACAACTGTGAAAATAATCATGGACATTTTACTCTTCTGCTGCCCAAGATAGCTAACAGCAGAAGCAGAAAATGGAGCTACTCACAGGGGACAGTGACTGTAGCAGAAGAATACACCCTCTGCAGCAGCTGAGAAGATGGGGTCGGGTAGAGTAGCAGATACCTCACTTTACAGTAGGCTTGCAATTGGAGGGCAAGCAAAGCAGAACTCTTTTCCATCCCAGCAGGCAAGGTGAGGCTTCAAAATTTAGCAATTACCCTCTAGCCAGAGAGTAAGATTACAAAAATGGTACTCTCAGGCAATGTCCAGGCATAGCATTACAGTACCCTCCTTCTACCCAGCAGGTTTGAGCTGGACTTTTCACCCACAGCCCTGGGACCTTACTGGTGTCCCTGCAATCCAGATTCCACGCTAGTCCTCTGGCCAGTAGGTGTCTGGTAAATTCTGTAAGACTATGTTAATGCACCAATAAAGAACTTTTGAAAGGAACAGAAATGGGATCTCACGAGTGAAACAGAAAATTCCCCACCTCTCACTAAACAGAAAATGGACCCAAATGAATGGAATCGCATGTGGGGAAGATATGATCTTAGGTTACGGGAGAGCCAACCCTCATCTAGCATAATTAGGACGTTCAGTCCAGTTCTCCATGTTGGTTTGAATGGGGAATATTTCCCTTGAAAACCACTCCTTTACATCAACTCGAGAACAAGTGATTTGTGTTAGTTTACACAGGTCTTTCAAACACACACCATATACAGCAAAAACTAACAACATGTTACCATAATTGGCATAAAAGCCTGGCAATTATTTTACCTACGTATACTCAGCAGGTACCACCATTTAGCAGGATTTGTGTCAATCTCCCTTCTTGAACTGGGATGAGAAAAACAAATTCTAATGAGATCTGTGGGTCGGAAGATGCTTTCGGTTTCTTAATAAACAATAATCCCTAAGGCTTATAACAACAGAAGTACCTAGTTCTTATACAGCACTTTGTATCCATAGATCTTTAAGTGCTTTACAGGGGAGATAAGGATCATTATCCCCACTATACAGGTGGGGAAACTGAGGCATAAGGGGATGCCTGAGGTCTCCAAGCAAACCAGAGGCACAGCTGGGAAGAAAACCCAGGTCTCTTTAATCCCCATTTAGTATTCTATCCACTAAGCCAACCTGCATCTCTCAGTGTCAGTAATAGCTCAGCGAGTTATTGCAACCAACAATCACGCTATATACCCCACTCTTCCTAAGATTTACATACTTGGCTTTAAGCACATGAGTGGCCCCAGTGAACGGCTCCACACATATACAAGTCTTTGGAGGGTAGGAGCCTTTGTTTCCAAGTTTCCTGATGGGGAGTTTTTCAGCCCTGATAACTAGGGTAAGTTTCAACACCAGCAGAGAAATAACACTGAACATAATACAAGTGCTGCAGTTTGCTTTTCTGGACCATACGTTTGTCTCACTTTGTACCACGCACATAACGCAAACAGACATGTGCACCCGAGCAGTCAAACAAAACCAAACCCTGACCTGCCAAGTTAAGTATGTCCCACGTGGCTCCTTTGGGGAAGAATTTCTTCATGTTTATGGCCCACTGGTAATCGCTCCACCGCTCTTTCCAGGCCTGGAGAATGGCCTGTTTTAGATTGACAACCTTCATCTTTCCGTTCTGAAAGGGAGAGAGAAGATACAGCAGCTTGTTCGCAACAGCATTTCGCACCCATTCCTCTCATAGATTTAGCTCCCCCGCACATCTCCCCTGGGGCTCTATACATTAAACACATCTTTTATTTCTATAATCAAAGATTCATTTAGAAGGAGGCAGGGCGGCCTGGTTCACGCAGGAGGCTGGGAGCCAGGACTCTATTCCCATGATAAGGGGGAGAATGCAGTCCACCGGTTAGAGCAGGAGCAAAGGCTCCTGGGCTCTAGTCACACTGGGAGGGAGCACAGGGTGCTGGGGCGGGGGGGCAGGACTCCTGGGTTCCCTTCCCATTCCCAGATCTGGGGAACACGTGTGCCCTAGTGTTTACAGCAGGGGAATAGGAGCCCGGACTCCTGGGTTCTGCTCCCAGCTCTGGGAGGGGGCAGGCGCCTGTGGCTAGAGGTGGAGGAGTGAAGCCCATCACCCCCCCCCCCCCAGTGGGGCATCCCAGGGGAAGGGTGTGTGAGTCCGTCTCCTATTAGCACCCCCTGAACTTGCTTATGGGGGAGAGGGCAGCCCCCCCCCGGAAATACACCCAGAATCTGCCCCCACCTGGAAACACACCCCGCGGGGGGAGAGGGGCTCTCTCACCTTCCAGCCCTCGCAACCAGCACCCAAACAGCACCTCCTTCAGCCCCTGGGCTCCGCCATCTTGGCACCCACCAACAACCCCTCCACGGATTGGCTGGAAGAGCACCGCGCGCCGCGGAGCTTGCTGGGAGTGGTAGTTTTTTTTTGAGCCTGGCTGCACTAGCGTGGGGGGGGGTTTAATACTTACAAATACCGGTCCTAGGCAGAGACATCGGGGCCGCCCCTCTGGCATGGGGGGTGGGGCGGTGGTGTTTTCCAGCCTATAGCAAATGGTCGGGGTTGTTTTTTTTTACTGTTATTTGGGGGGTTATTTATTGGTGCCCCTTTGCCAGTTGGAATCTATTAACAGACATTTGTGCTGGCCCCCGGCAGGTTGCGGAGAAATGGGGCTGAATCCCGGGGTGGGCGCCGCAGCCAGAGGGGCTGTGACCCGCCCCCATCCCACCCCAGGAAAGATTCAGCAGGCATCGTTAATTACAGTTATTTACTCTTTATTTACGGTAGCGTGGGCCAAGTGCCAGGCCCTTCCCAAACACCCAGGAAGGCTGGCACCTGCTCCCACTCTGAGGAGTCGTCTCTCCTCCAGTCAGTGGGTTTCAAACCATGGCCCCCGAGGAACGGGCTGGGCACTGGCGTTGTCTTTGCGCAGAGCTCTGGGCAGGGCACGTGGGGCATTGGGGTCGGCTCGGCTCCCCTCCTTTCCAACTGCTACACCATGTTAAAAGATGCGACATGTTTAATAATTCACTCAGTATTACTTTCCCCAATTTCAAGAGCCGTAGATTCAAAGGCCACAAGGGACTATTGTGATATAGTCTGACCATCTGCGTAACATGGGCCAGAGAACATAAGAACGTAAGAACGGCCGTACTGGGTCAGACCAAAGGTCCATCTTGCCCAGTATCCTGTCTTCCGACAGTGGCCAAATGCCAGGTGCCCCAGTGGGAATGAACAGAACAGGTAACAGAACAGAACAGAACGTCCCCAAATAATTCCTAGAGAAGCTCTCTTAGAAAAAAAACCATCCAAGCTTGATTTTCAAATGGCCAGTGATGGACAATCCCCCGTGGATGTGATAGGGACTGGGAAAGGAGGTGGGGGCCAGGCCTTGAGGAATGGGAGGAGAGATTTCCTTGTACTCCCCTGTCTGTGTCCATCTGTTGTCTCTTGTATTATACTTACATTGTAAGCTGTTTGGGGGAGGGATTATCTCCTTCTGTGTCTGTACGGAGCCCAGCACCATGGAGGGGTGGTAGGGCCATACAGATAATAAATAAGAAGATGAGGGGGGAGGGCTATCCACAAGAGGGAACATTTGGGAGCCCCTTTCTGAGATAAATTGGAATACTCCAGTATTTGTACCAATCCTTTGCACCTCTCTCTACTTACTGCAAATACAGAGGTACCGTTCTTTCGTTCTCTGGGACAACTGGCAGGCTTGTAAGGGGAAAGCGCTTTCTTTCCAACCTGGCACTCACATCTCTAGCCAAGCCCTCCGGCTGAGGGAGGCCATCTGAAGGGGCAGACCCGGCAGATGGTTTTGGATCATCTTCATTCGCTTCGCCGTCTTGAGGGGATGTGGCAATGCTGGGCTGGAAATGCTCTGCTACTGCCACATGCACAATCAAAATAGTTGTGCAAAGCCGCAGATTGACTCACGTGCTGGGACCCGTTGTCTACGCGGGCCTCACCAATCAGATCAAGGCAGCGTGTTGCCTCCCCAGCCAGGCTCGAGCTGGGACATGTTCTCCTTGGGAGCTGCAGCTGTGCGTTCGAGGAGGTGCTGCAGCTGGCAACCCCGGCGCTGAAGACAGAATCAAAGCCACCTTCTTGGCTACCCGCTCCCAGGTGCATCCCAGCACAGGCTGGCTTCAGGGCTGATGGGCACCTGATTCATTCTTCATTCCCCAGCTCCAGCTCCTTTGCTGTTTATTGCTTCGTTGAGGCTCCTGGTCAGAGTGATTTGGGGAGGGGGTGTTGACTTAGATCCAGGATGATCCTGTGATTAGGACAGTGAATTGGGACTCCAAAGAGCTGCCGGGGGGCGGCGGGGGGATCCCTTCCTGTGACCTGCTGCGTGACACGCTCCCCCCCACCTCCTAGTCTAGCTAGACTATAAGCTCGTTGGGGCAGGAACTGTGCGCAGAGCAGTCTCGCTCTCACTGCAGGCCTCGAGGAGTTGCCGTTAATACACATGATAGATAATAACAGGGGCTAGTCCAGAATCCAGGACTCCTGGGTTCATAGATTGAAGTGGCAGCGTCTCGGTTTCCCAGTCTTTGGAAAGGGGGTCACCACGCCTGTCTCACATCACCCACTGCAAACACAAACCTCTTGGCGAGGGGCTAGAGGGAGGCCAAATATTATTGACACACCCACGATAGGCGCACTGCGGCCCCCCAGAATTCCACGGCAGAGCCCAGATCCTCCGGCACCAAAGCCCAGGCCCGGAGCCCGGAGGGCTTAAGCTAGGGGAGACGCCCCATTGGTTATTAATGAGACAGGGGCCTATGACAGCAGTTGTGTCATTCTGATTCAATCCAGTAGGGGGCAATGGTCTTTCTCTCTCACACACGCACGCACACGCCAGATTAGTGCAGCCCCTTCCAGATCTCCCCCGAGCCCCACAGCTGCATTTTGCCAGCGGGGCCCATCCCCAGCCGTGCAGTGGCCTTGTGTCCCGTAGCAGGCGCCGCAGGAGTGCAGCTGGGTTGTCCGTGCCCACGCACCCTGCTCTTTACTGCAGTGGAAGCTGCACGGGGGAACGCTCTGGACTTGCGGTAGCCGAAACAACAGGGAACTTTCCCCCCAGGATAGGGGCAGCGGGAGCTGTGCTGAGCTCTCTCTTTTCTCTCTCTTTCCTGGCATCTGTTTCTCCCCACAAAGTGCCACCCACCTTCCCAGGCTGGCTGGCTGGTGTGCCCAGATCACCTGATCCCCCTCCCACGAAACCCAGGGTCTCCCAGTCACGTGCCCTGCACTCGCAACAGAGAACGGTGCCATTCGCCATCTGCCAGGGTAATTGGGCAGCGGCCTGGAAGGGAACCTGGAGGAGGAGCTGCGTCCCTGCCAGCTCCATGCGGGGGCCCTGCACTTACATTGCTGCAGACATGGGCCAGGCCAGGCCCTGGTACCGTGGGTGTGCAAGAGTGGGGGGTTTGGCCCCTCGCTCCAGCGTCATCCCCGAGGAGCCTGCATTTCGCGGGTGCAGAACAGGCCCCGTTGGCTGAGCGAATTCCACCTGGCGTCAAGGCGAAGTCAAGAAGCAGATTGGGCCCAGCTCAGAGTCAGGCCTGGGTTGTGATGAAAAGGCCTCTGGGCGCAAGTTCACAGCCTGGTTTTCAGAGGTGCCGGACACCTGACCCTTCTGTTGGCTCCGGCGGGACCTGCGGGCGCTCAGCACTTCAGACCCTGTCTCTCTGCAACGACAGCTGAAGCCAAGCGAGTCTGACTCTGACCTAGTTCCCAGCTTCGCCGTAGGAGCAGTGGACTGAGCTGGGGGCCATCAGCCAGGACTCCTGGGGTTTATTCTTGGCTCTGCCACTGACTCCCTGCATGACCTGGGGCGAGTCCCACCTCCTCTGACCTGCAGTTTCCCCATCGGCAAAGTGCTGACAATGCTGCCGACTGATCGCTCCCTTTGTGGAGCGCTGGGTGTCTGCGATGAACGGCACCATGGCCGCGCACAGCTCGGCAACCAACCGGTGGGCGTGGCTGAGTCACCAGTGCTCCCTGCTGGATGGAATCGCAAACTTCTCGGCTGTGTGTCATAGGCCCTTCACCGCTAACAGAGATTCCCCTTGAGCGGCCGTGCAAGGGCTTTCAGTGCTGCTCTGAGATCTTGCCCCAGGCAGTTCCGAGTCCCCGTGAGCTATCCAGGAAGCTCCTTGCTCCCATGAAAGCGGCAATCCACCTCTTCGCCTTTCTTTTCTTCTCCTGCGGCTGTGCAATACGTTGTTCTTTTTCTTTCCCCAGCGGCAGGGAGCGGGTGACAGAGGCTTAGAATAATGATCAGCCCACGTGTGGTTTCAGAACCCCTCTTTCTTCCCCTCCAGGGTCTTCGTCTGCTGCCCTGGGACACTCCCATCGCCAGCAGAACATGGCTGGGAGAGCCTGCGTAGGGAATCGTCAAACAGCCCTGTCCGTCCTGAAGGCACGGCCTGGCCTGTCTCTGTTCACTGCACATAACCTTGCCTTGTCCCCTTACTGCTTGTATTACACCACAACCCCGAGGCCCGCCCAGGGCCCTGCCGGCCGGGCAGCGCGCAGGTGGAGAGACCGCCCCGAGCCAAGTGCTCATAGGCTCACCTGATGAGCGTTGTGATCTCCCTGTTCCACAGGGGAACGGAGGCACAAAGGACTCCCCTGAGCTCACGCGCCAAGTCAGAGAGAACCCAGGAGTCCTGATCAGCGCGCTGCCCCTGATCCCATAATAACCCTGCTCAGAACGTGCCCTTCTGCAGCGAGGATGTGAATACGGGACCCAACCCCCAGCCACAGCGGGGCCGTCCTGGGCAGCCTCAGCGGAGAGGCCTATGGCGACGCCTCGCCTCTACCTGGGGCGCGCCGGCAAGGCTGGGGGACGCCAGCCCTGCCCCGGCTCCCCCCAGCCAGCGTGGAGTGTCTCTGGGAGCCCACTGGGGTACAAGCAACAGCCCTGGCCCCAGGCTCTGGCATACGCCAGCTCCAGCCGCAGCCTGTGGGAGCCCGGCCCTGCCCCAAGCTGACCCCACCCGGGCGCTGCCCCCAAATGAGCAGTCGCTGCCAGTGCCTGGGGGGGGGGGGCTGTAATCCACAGTGTTACCCCCCACTCCAAACCGTTCCCAGCCACGGGATTCTGCACTATGGCCAGCAGAGGGTGCTGAGCAGCTGGGCTCCCCCGGCCATCCCTGGCACCCCGTCCGTTGTACCCCCCCCCCCCCCCCCCCCCCACCCCCACAGGGCCCTTGTTTATTGTTCAGCTCAGCTCCTTCCCAACGAGGCGGTCGAAGCCGGGGCGGGCGGGGGGCTTTGCGGAGAGGCAGCAGCTGTCAGCTGAGCTGGCGTCGGTCCAGCATGGCTCTGT